TTTTCACAATAGACATTTATACACCATTCGATAGAGAATTTCAAGGGCTACATTTTACACTATTTATATTTGATATACGAATTATTTGAATTTTCGGCCTAATGTCCGCTTGGATGCCCACTGTGTGATAGTTCGAATGTAGCCCGAGAGTTTTTTCTCGGTTTCATTCCATTACAAGCATTTGACGCTGCAATATTATCGAGCAAAATTGTTGAATTCTTAAGTAGCTGGAAAATTCCTCCACAGTCACGCATTTGTTTATGCTTTGATGGGTATGTTTTTCCTCTCTTCAGTATCATAAAACCTTAACTCGTAAAAAATTTTCTTTCTGATGATTTCAGAGCAAGCGTTATGTCAGGCTGTAATGCAGGAGTTCAGGCATTGTTAAGGAAAGATCATATGCCAAAAGGAATTTATATTCATTGCTCAGCTCACCGCTTGAACCTTGTTATTAATGACACATGTAAAGCTACAGTTTATATGTCTAATTATTTCTCAATTATTACCAATATCCATTCGTTTTTCACCGAATCTTCCGTTACTAATTCCTATTTCAAACAGGTACACCAAGCATTGGTTTTAGGTATTTATTTTGTTGAGGTTCTTTGGAAAATTTATCTTATGTCACTTTCTCTTTCTTATGCAGCTTATTCTTCGATATTGAAACTGTGGGCCAATACTCGTTGGAATAGTAGATGGAGATCGATTGATTCAATAATTAAGAATTATCATGCTATTCTCAAAACTTTACAAGATCTCAGCGAAGAAAATAGTGGCAAAAGATCCATAAATGCCGGTGGTTTGTTGATGCATGTCCAAAAATCAATATTTATTATCACTTCATTTATCCTTCAAAACCTGTTCGGCTTAGTGAAAGTACTTAGTGATTATTTAAAGAGTAAGATTTTTTTTCTTTTCAAGTTTAAAAAAATTTCGTCTGCTCTCTGCTTTGAAGGTTCTTCTTTAGACTATGTTCGAGGTGAACATCTTATTTCATCTATTATTCAACAAATAACTGATCTTCGAAAGGAAGAAGCGTTTAACGAAATTTATGATCAAGTGAAAGAATTTTGTGATGCAAATCATGTAGATTTAGATCAACCGTATCGTTCATGTCGTAAAACAGCAGTTCCAGCTCGTTTCCAAGAATGTATAATTGAATCTACAATTGGCCAACGTGAAACTGTATCAACATCAAAAGATTTTATGAGCAGAATTTATCTTCCTTTGATTGACTGTATGCTAGTGGAATTAAATGACAGATTTTCACTCAAAACCTTATCGTTAATGAAAAGTATTTCTACAGTTTACCCTGAAAGTGGAAACTTTCTAAATATTGATCAGGTAGATGAATTTTGTCGTCATGTCGATGTTGATTCAAGTGCATTAAAAAATGAATTTAATGTTATCAAGTCTTGGATCGAATCTAAAAAAGTTAGTGACATCATAAAGTTTTTAAATAAATTATTGCCCTTATCATTTGCCTTTCCGCAAACAATCAAAATGATTTCAAGTGCCACAACAATATCTGTCTCACAGGTCACATGCGAGAGATCATTCACTAAGTTAAAAATCATCAAGAATTATTTCAAAACTCAATGACCGACGAACGTCTCAGTGCTTTAACGGTTTTATCTACTGAACGTGAAATTGACATTAATTATGAACAAGTAATTGATGTATTTTCAATTCTTCATAAGAACGGTAGAATTTTATTACGTTAACTTTTTTGTTGTTGTGTTAAAAAAAATACTCTTAAAAGGACCTTGCGGCGTGTCTGAAGGCCTGGTCGCAATAGAATATCGGTCACGCCGATATTGTAGATACTCTAAAGAATTTTGCTACGGGCTAGAGAAAACTCACGCAATCGTTTCTGGGTTTCTAAAAAATAGCAGAGCTGAGCCCACCCTGCTAAGAAATCCTGGCTACGCCGCTATACATAATATAATGTCACGGTAGGACGGAGGGGGTGCAGCATAAGAGTGAGCCACGATGCAACATTTGCGTGTTGTCAATGAGAATACACCAAGCCCAGCACATTTAATAGACATAATTTGAAGGACCATCATAGTCCTTCAAATTGTCTACAAACTGAGCTAGTCAGAATGGCTCCACTGGTCGGACCAGTTACCAAACACATGCAAAAAGGGGAAAATGAGAAAAAGCGCGTTGGAGTACGAAAAACAAGTGTAGCAAACTACTTTAGTCGTCTTCCTGTCCTAATGAAAATTTATATATTTTTTTAAAATATACCGCTGGATAGCACCTGAATTGTCTACAAACTGAGCTGTTCAGAATAACTGGACTTCTGGGCTCAGCCATTAAAGATATGCAAAACAAGCGTTTGGGTGTTATTTATGCAGTAAAGCGTGTACTAATCATAGAAACTCGTTTTTTTTAGAAAAATTTCAAGGGCCATCCAACAGTATATTATAGAGACGAGTATAGGTGGCTAGTTTCGAAGTTTCGAGAAATTCTGTCAACAAAATATAAAAATGAGAAAAAAGTCACTTGGCCGATTATAGGTAAAAACATGTCGTTTTCAAAAAAGGAAAGCAAAATTAAAAAAAAGCGTACTTTTATTCTACGTTTCACGACGGCTCCAGTGGTGTCAAAATCAAGGCTCCAGCTCAAAACCCGAAAGCTGAAAGTAGTTTACGAGCGGAGGATGTAGTAATTGGAGCGGTCCAAAGTTTGACGAAACTGTGGGCACTTCTCGGGACTCGAAAAGCTTAAAAGACACTCCTATACTCAACTCCATCCGCTGATTCCGAAAATAACATTCCGAAGGTTCGCTGACCTTGTGGAGCTAAGATATTGCGTGCTTTTTAAAAAGTCGCGATTTTTCGAAAAAATATAGCACTCTTATTTTTTAATGTTTTCTCCTAAAGGACGAGCTCTGAAAATGTTTTAGTCAACATATTCGTGATCAGCGTGAAATTTTGCGTCGTATGGTGCATATTTAAGCAAAACATAAAATAGTGCTCGATCTTTGAATTTGGAGAGCCTTACATCTGGCTCCCAATAAGCGTTGTTTTAGCAGAAGTAGTAAATCGAGAAATGAAAGTGAAAAAGGAGTCTGTTGCCGACGGAACTGGCATAGATGGATAACGCCGTCAAAAGTGAAAATGTGAACAGGCCGCCCAAATCCTTTTTTCTCCCTCTCTTTCTTTCTGTAACTATGTAATTGTCAGACAATTCCGTTTTTTTTAGTTGTTTTAGTGTTCACTTTGTTCACTTTTGTGTGTATGTTTTATCTTTTCTATACTATTTATTGTCTTTACTAGTCACCTTTGCGTCTTCATCACTCTAAATATGTTTGCATTTTATCCTCTGCTGATGGTTTTTCTCCGCAAACGGTACATTCTTCTTCTTTTTATTCAACTGTTACTGATTTAAATAATCTCCCAGAGTCAGTTATTTGTGTTTCTTCTTTAACATCTTTCAAAACAGTTTTACTTCAGTATCTCTTCCAGTGAAGCGTTTGTCAGTTAAAAATGTATACTTGTTCTTTTTATTTTTAAAATAATTTTTACTACTTCTGGTTGTAACCTTAGTTGTCTTTTTTATTTTGTTCGTTTTTTTATTACTCTTTTGGTGTTGCTTCACTTGAGCCGTTGTTACTACAGGTCGGTGACCTTGGATGACTCTCACTTTTCATGAATAAACAGTCGTAGTCTCTTAGCCTTAGTCCTCCATATCTTCTCATTGGTGAAATAATTGAACAGAAAACGTTCATGTGATTTTCAAATCAACAGAAATCAGAATTAAGTCTCTTGTAACCTTCACTTTATCTCTCCATTTTAGATCGAGCACATGTTGTTCTTCTCCAATTTCTTCCTTAGCGTTGTACTCAGCTAAGACTAGTGCTGCGAGGAATTAACTTATTTGAATTTTTATTTTTTCTGACACCGATTATTTTGAATTTGCCCATGCGCCTATGACCGAATATCTCAAAAACGCTACTAACCCTCAACTTTTCTTCCACCTTGGTTTTTTTTGCTGTATTCCTCTAGAAAATATGAAGCTGATTACTTTCTGTTTGTTACTCAGAATATTACAAAATTCTGCTCGACGACCATATAATTGTGAAATGTTTATTAACAATATTTCAAAATGGAGAGCAATATTCCCCATTTTTCTCTCGAAAAAAAGATAAACAGAATGCGATCAGTTTTTCTTTGAATGTCCCTTTTATGACACCGCGCGATTAGCTCTAATCTCGATATTTCAGCTGAATCTGCCTCATTTGAATTTTGACTCGAAAACTCTACTTTTGCAAAATTCTTTATCACCTGAAGAAATTAAGATCGTGTTCAAAGGTGTCATTAACTTTATTGCTCAAATAGAGCGGTTTATTACTGATAAACATATTTTTTCTTGATTTCTCAGCACTCCAGTCCGGAACGCACACTATTCCTCCTTCCCTACTTCTTCTAATCTCATATGATTGTATACTGGCATGCATTTATCTATTAGTCCATTCTTTTTAATTTTATTGTACTCAAATAGCATGTTCAAACAAAAAAACAAAAAAAATGTAACTCTGCTAGGTTTTTGGTTGAGCGTTTTATGCACTATGCAACACAGACTTGTCTGCAAGCATAACTGCGTTTGTTTGTTGAAATTAAATACAACTATTTTTTAATAAACAAGGACAAGTTTAAAAAAAAGCAATCAGTTTCATATTTTCTGGAAAAAATCAGCATCAAAAATAACACAGTAGAAATGTCGAAGGTCGAATTCGATCCGGGATATACTGGGAATTTTTCCAGCGGGGTACCTGGAAATACTGTGTACAAGTACCCGAACTGGTATCTGAATAGTACCTACGCGTACGCAGATACTGAGAGTGTATCAGCAGGGTACTCAACCAAGTACCCGATAAGTACCCAAAAGTACTTTAAAGTACTTCATTACCCCACAGATTCTGTGACATACTAACAGCAGGGTATTCTTTACTCAGTACATTCACATGGGGGCATATGACTAAACCATACGAGAAAGAGATGCAAGACTACGAACACGAAGAAACGGGATAAGGAGAATGATAGTTTTCTTTGATATAACCGACTCTCTTAACAAAACAGACACATTTGATAGTTTGTTAGTTACAGAATTTTCAACTTGAAAATAGATCTGAGTATGTCTCTGTCAACCATGAATGGACAAACTACCGGTTTAATTTAATTCAATGCAGTTGTCAAACAGCTATTGGAAATAAAAATCGATTGGAATAAAATTAGTTTTGCCGGATATGATGGCTCATCATCTTTAGTAGTATTTACAATGGCTGCAAAAATTCGTTTAGAGTTTCGCAACTGGTTATTATTTATTCATTGTAGAGCTTATTCTTCTGTCTAATTCAGACT